CCAGCCACTGAAGTCCTTTTAAGTACCTTTTAAGAAAGTACCGAGAAATAGATGGACTGACAAGTAAGATATACTTATGGGGGATAATTGCTAGGAAAAAGCAACAAGAAGACAGTTTTCCTTGAGAAAGAAATATTTATATATTGATATATTATTATATCAATATATTATATAATATATATAATATATATTTATAGATATATATATTATTTATATAAATAATTATATATTGACTTTCTCAAGCCAATGTCGTATGGATATTAAAGAAACTTAAACAGAAAATATAATAGAAAAGGGGTCCTTAGAGGTAATAAAAATCACGGAATGTGTCAAAAATGGATAAATGCAGGGTCACCCAAACTTGACGTTACAATCAAGATTTGCAACAAAACCAATGCAAATGCTTTATAATTAGGAACTTCTGTTGGAAGACTGTCTAATATCCCCTATGTCATTGACTGCAATATCAAATAATTAACCTACATACCAGCAAATAGTATATTAATAAAGAGGAATCAGAAGGGCATCAGCCTCACAACCAAATGAAAGACTGTCTCTGGTGTTCAAGTGCTTCTGAGGCAGTTTCCTCATCTGCCTCTAGAAAAGTAGGGATGTTGAGACAGGCTAGTAGCATTATATATGTTTTTCCACTTGCAGAGACTAATATTTTACAGTGTTGTAAAATACACTGGAGTGGGAGAAAGAATATTACCTTAGCCTTAGTAATTATCCAGCAACTTTTTCAGATAATTACTGCTGCAAATTAGATTCCTATTGATTCATAATTTGCAATTTCGAAAAGAAAAAGCTTTTTTTACAGACACCCATCCACACAACTTTTTTCTATTCCAAGGAAAACAAAAGTAAGAAAGGAGACAATTTAAAGACCAAAGCACATATTGGTAGGCATTATATTGAGAAAATAAGTTATCTCCCACCATAACTGTAATTGTGAAATTTAACACAGAAAAAGTTAAAACACCATAGCACATATATGCCAATAGCAAACTACTGTAGAAAACAGGGAAAGAGACCTCTAAAGCTCAAATGGAACAGCTCAACAACATGTATTGTACCAAATGAAAAACCAAAAGCTACAAATTGGTATTTTGAAGAAAGTTCTGAATATGCACTTCTCTATTCACATATGATATACGTGATTTAAAATATTTTGGTATTATATAACGCCATAGTTCAGTTCATCACAAAGAGATAACAAGGTTATTGATTGTAATGCCACCTGCTTTTCATAAAGGAACATTTCAGTATGTGGAAGTGAAAAATTAAGGGAAAAAAAAATGCAACAATGAAAAAAAATACATTGCAAAACAAAAAAATAATTTCAGGGTAGTAAAGATCAAAATTCTGAAGATTATGTGTGGCACACTATCACAGTGCAGACAATTTTATTAATAGTTTCTACTATAACAAACTAGAAAAAAATCTGGAGGTTGTAACCAGACAATTCATGAAGCATCACACCACCACAATAATACATGATGCACTAAGGCATTATATAATAGCAAAATCGATCTTAAATTATGGGGAGTGATGTTAAAAATATGTCTTGGGAATGGGATACGTGTAGAGAGGGTGGCAATACTGTGTTTGTATGCATAATTATAAGGTCACTATTTCATTTTAAGTCATCTGTATACAAAATTACAGATTTCAAGCACAGTTTAAGCAGTTTAACAGTTTAAGTTGTGAAAACTACTTTTTTTATACATTTTTGAGCATATTTCAGTCACAGACTGTTTTATTGTCAGATTTATCACTCCTCAACCATTTTTTCCAATGCAGTAGCTCCCACAAAATTCAAGTAGTTATTCCAGCCTTGCAAAGATGTCATGAAAATCAACCAGGTATCAAATATATTTGCCATCTCTTACCAAGATAAAAAAGGAAAATGATAATGTAATAAAGGAAGCAGTTTACTGAGATCAAAGTTTACACAAAATTGCAGTGCTGCAATAGATGTTTTGCTAGTGTGTGGTTGCAAATTTGCGTACTACTCAAAATCACTTAACAGACACTTCATGTGTTGCATTCACATGATTTCTGCATTCCCTTACCCAGTACTGTGCAACACTTCCTACAGAACAAGAACAATGCAAGCATGGAAAAAATTAACAATCAGTAATAGTAACCCCTAAGTATTATATACCCACTCCTTTCTTTAATGCAAAGAGCAGATATTGGCTTGGCTACCCCTATTAACAAGAACACAAACAAGAGACTGTTTGCCAGATTAGCTGGTTTTAGATGGTAGTAATCCTAGTCCTCATTACAAAAAAACACCTGACACAATACTAGAAGTGATTTTCTACAGCTGTGATTCTCTTTTTCCTTTACCAGAGAGTTAAAAGGATATATAATAAACACAAACATACATGCGTGCGCACACACGTCTCTTTACTGGTTCTTACTCTTTGAAAGTGAAACATCTACCCGATTTCCCCAAGACTCACTGACAGTTTCCCAACAGAATCACGTGAGATGGCCATCTTATTGAACAGGAAATTTATTTATAATACTTTTCAGATTAGTTTAGTGCAGCTTTTAAAAGCTGTTATCCATATCTGGAGCAATGGCATAATCAGTGAGATTGTTTTAATATCTCTCCCAAATTTTTGGCCTGAAATGACAAATTTGAACCTACAATATGCAAGTATATTTGCTCATTAAAAGCTGCTCTCAGTAGTTGGGGGTAGTTTAAGTAACACAGATACAGTCACAGGGAATGACAATCACTCTAAAAGTGGATTCACTTTAACTGTGTTACTTAAAAAAGCCATCCAATTCAGCTACATGATGTCCTGCTAACAACTTCCTAATTTAATTTTCTAATTAGTCTCAGGCAAAGGTTCCACCTCACAGATGAGAGCTAGTAGCATTTTAAACAGCCCAAACATAACCCCAGGGTCAGAGACAAAAGTCAAGCAGCCCATTTTACATATATAACCATATATGTTTATTTTGAATGACAAAACTGTGAAATGCAAGGAAACATATTCAGCAATAATGCTTCAACAACATAGAATTAACAGCTACTTATGAACTGTAAGCTGACATATCCACTTTGCTCACATTATTTCCCAAGAGACATTCAAAGTTTGTTACACATTACAGAATAAAGAGATATGAGATATAAATTTATTAATGTCTTACCAGATGAATTTCCAACTGTCAGCAAAAAAGCTTAAACTGTAGCTCAACCAAATAAATCAAGGGACATTGGAAACAATGGGAAATGGATTGAACACTGGTGGACTTTTATTTAATAAACTAATAGTAGCTGTAAAGTGAAATTTACTCCTTAAGAGGATAAGGTGCATGAAGGAGGGAACAGGAAAAAAACCCAAAAACTGTTCACCTGACCTGGTGTTTTAATAAATAAAATGCAAACATTCTTGAAGATGGACTTATGCCAGACATTTTCAACACATCAAACCCTGTTAAGATTTGTTCACTGCTACTTTATTTTACAGTGTAATAAAACTGCTATCATAGATTCTCTGAGTGTACCATAGCTGTATTTATATATTACATAAATAAATCCTGTATCTATAACTGGGATTTGTACTAAAATACTTTAAAACCATTCTAAAGATTTGCTATATATTTAAAAGCGCCTTTGCCTCTGTAACAGTAACATTTGCTCCAACACAGTTAAGTGCTTGTAATGTCTTCAGAAATGCAGCTCAAGGACCCAAGGCACTGGAATGGCCATTGGTAAAATTACTGGGACTGAATAACAACCCTTAAATTTCTGTGTATAAAGAAAAAATCCCAAAGATGAAAGACTAACAAAATTACTAAGATGTCCCCTTCCACATCCCTGCAGCCATTCCTTTCGGAGCAAGAAGCAGAGAGAAAGGCTGAAAAGAAGAAACAGTCATACAGCAAAATCGTATGTCCAAGCTGCATACTGATAACTTTGACTATACTGACCTAAGCAGCAACTACTGAAACGCTGTTCAGTTCAAGATTAACTAGAGGTACTAGAGCAAAACCACAACAAACCCAAGAACAAATTCCATTTCAAAGCATCCTTCCAATGCCTTCAGGTATGTGACACTTTGCACAGTGGAGCTCTTCACATGGTACATGTAACACAAGGTGCACATAAGCAAAGAAAATGTAACATACTTTAAGATACCATGCCAACTTCATAAAAACAAAGTAATTAGAGCACCCCTTAAAGTAACAGCTGAGATTTCCAAACATAGCAGGAAAAGACAGGGAAAAAAAGTTTTATATTCACAACACTAGTATCAAAGCTGAATCATGAAAATGAGATACAAAACTAAATTTATGAAAGCATTATATAAGAGCCAGTCAGACATTCTCCACTGTTTTCAGGTCATATCCATCAAAGAAAATGGATTTTAATCAATAATATAGCAGTCAGTATTAACTGACTTAGACTAAGTGCTGGGTTGTTTATTTTTGTTTGTTTGGGATTTTGTTGTTTTTTGGTTTCATGCATATGTTTGGTTTTAGTGTTTTCTGGTGAGGGGTTTTTATTTGGTTGGGTTTGCTTTTTAGGGATTTTTTTGCAATTGAAATGAAACAGTCTTATTTTAGGAGAAGATTTAATTAGAAAATTCAAGAATCATAGGAGATTAATTTTTTTCAAAGCATATTTGTCATATTTGGATTTTTAAAGTGAATTTTAAATGACTGGCAGTTTTTCATTGAATTTGCAGCCAAAGTGTAAATCTAAGTTTAGACAAACAAGCTATTCTTAACCTGCTGGTTTCACCAAACAGTGAAAATGGAAAAATAATGGGGAAAACCCCCAAAACTGTTATCCTGCTGTTAGAGGTTCTCTGCTGATACCGCAGCTGAGGAGTACAATTCATTTTGACAGAATTCATTATGTTCACACAGCATAACCTGTACTGCCATGAACAGCACTGACTTGAAACTTGACTCTCTGCTCCCCATATCGCCGTACTCACAGCCAAAACTGACTTCACAGAAGCTGCAAAAAAAGTTTTTTGTTTACTTCTGTTTTTCTAGAAATAAAATACATGTAGGAAAGATTCATTTAACACATTAGGTGGGAGGGGAAACAGGAGAGATTTTTTCAGTCCTGTAAGGTTAGAAAGATGTTCTACTAATTAGAAATAATTCAAATTTACCAGAAAGCTTAGTAAATAATGATCCCAGATCTTGTGATAATAATACTTCCAGCCCAAACGAGGAATACTTTCTTTTTAAAAAAAAATTCTCCCATACAAATACCCAGAAGGTAGTAATACTGCAGTCAGTAGCTTTGAAGTATCAGGTTCAAACTGAAGGCAGTAAGAGGACATTGTATAGTTTGTGCCAACAGAATTAGAATTTAACAAATGAGAATCCAAAAATACACAATTACAAGCCAACAGAACAGAAGTCAAGTTAGAAGCCAAATGATAATCAAAAAGAATGAGACATGCCAAGACTGGTCAAGAGAGCCCCTTCTTCTATTTTAATCACCAACTAGATTAATGTTAAAGAACAAAGCCATCAGCAATTTGCTGTTGCACTAAGTCACCTAGACACACTTAGAACCAGAGCAGGACGTGTGGTCTGCATGACCACAGTATGCAGCAAGGGGGAACACAGAATCATCTTCTGGCAACATACTTTTCTTGTTCCTGGAGGGCAGACATTCAATGCCAATATGCTGGAAGAAGCAACTTCCTGAGACAAAGACAGGAACATTCCTTTTGGCGGGGACAGTAATACATACCCATTCTGGTGAAAGTTTAGATTAAATTTAGAAATTAATTTTGCCAGTTTTACTGAGTTATTAATTCTATGAGTCCCTAAAATTAGGAAATCTATGCTACCCTAAAATATCCTAGAATAAATTACTGCACAGTTCTTGTGTACTTTGAGAAATATTTGTTCTTTGTTCCTTTTCACTTTTTCTTCTCACCGTTAGAAAGGATCACTTTCTCTACCATCTCTAACTGATTTACTTTAGGCTTGTCAAAATTATTCACGCTTTCTTTCCTTTACCCATTGATGTAATGAATTAACTGCTCCTACTAAGGAAGTAGGACTGTGCAGAAGTAATTTTTATATTAACAATTACATCTGATCAACTATCTCAATCATAGATGAGTTTAAGATCACTAAAGAACTTTTGAAACATTTTAACCTTTATCATGACCAATTCAAAAATGGAGCACTGTGTTGGTCTTACACTTTGGAAAATTGATGCAGTAAGTATGAATAACCTACACAAGGCCACAAAGGTAAATAGTATCAGCCAGGATAAAAACTCCAAAATTCAGGCATCAAGTCCTCTGTACAGACTATAGCAGTGTCTAGACTATAGGGTATAGTCTATAGGTATAGACTATACCCTATAACAGAGTGATAAATCTCATTCAAAATTTGAAAGCCTATCCCAGCAAGGAAGTTCTCCACACAATTAAGAGTTTATCATGGTCAATTTGTCATTTCAGCTGTGATTTTTCTCTATTTTGTCCACTGTTGAGCAACAGCAACACTTGTGAGGTCCTCGGTGTGATAAATCGTGAATATGAAGTGCATATGCGTACACACATTTGAAAAGGACAAAGCAATTTCTATTTCATTGTTAATATAATGGAAAACAGTTTTAAATGCTACACTTAAGTCTTATTCCAAAGTGGACCAACTATAATCTGTGATTTTATATCAAATTTTCTATTTTTATTTACAGGAAGATCTCTTGTCAGAATCCATGGTGAAAATTATTCACATCCACTATGCTGACAATTTCTCACCTGTAAAAATCTATGGAAAAGATAATAACAGGACCAGTACTAATGTGAAGAAGATAAAACCAAAAACAATATTTGGACAGGGTTCAGTGGGGAAGAACAAGATGCATTTCTTGGGAATTATATATACTGACGAAGACTAGAGTGTAAAGATGATGTGACATGTAATGAAGGGGGCTGGTGAGAGGAAATTAAAAAAAAAAACAACAAACCACCCTCTCATAAGTTAGGCACAGAGACAACACAAGCACTAATTACCTGGGATCTAAGCAAGAAATTGTTTTCAGCTCTTTTGAGGATGTTTTCCCCATTTCATGCACAGCCAAACAGATCCCAATTTTAATACCACACATATCAACAATGCCCTCAGAGAACAGAATGACTGGAATCTTAAGCCAAAAATATTCAATAGGAAAAGGAAAGACCTGTAATGCAAATCTGCAGCTCACAGAGAAAATCAATTTAGAAAAAGACTTAAAAAACAAAGAAAATAAAGGCACAGTCCTCTGGAAGGTTTGATAACAATTTAAACAGAGGGTGACAGTGGTTAAGCAGTTCCAGGTGTTTTCATGCGTATGTACATATCTGTGGTGTATCTCTGTCTATTTCATTCAGCTTCTGCTTTCCTGGTGCTCCCCAGTAATCAAGTACTTGATTTGTAAGATGCTACATTAGTGCCAGCAGGCACAAAATGGTATGATAAATAACACTCTTCACAAAATATAAAAGCCACACTCTTAGTGAAGAAAGTGTATCTTCAGCTAAGTGGAAATCAGTATCTCCCTTTAATGTTTTTTAAATAGCTCTGCTCAGCCACTTGGAAGAGTCCCAGCTGCCACAAAAAGTCATACAAACTCCAAGCCCTGCTCTGTTTAAATTTCTGCTCCATAGCTCACTTCTTGAGTGTGAACACTTGCTGAACTAGACCGTAAGAAATTTCCTCAGTAGACCAAGTTAAAAAACCAAACCTGATAATATTTCCATTTTAGCAGTAAGTCTGGAATCAGTTGTATTAGAGAAGCATCAAGTCATTGGTTCTTGTTTCATCACATGCTTTCTAATGACAGGTTTGCTACAACAGCCTTGAAGGGGACTGGCAATTAGGTTCCAACTGGTCATGCTCTTGGGGAGAAACACCTTGGACGAACTGTGGTTCAACAGCATCGGGCTTTTGCAATTCAGAGCTGGGTGTCCCTCAGGGACTAAAGCCACAGAGTTAGTGCCAGGTGGCACGACAGATTTTGTAGGGAATAAAGTTTTGTTTTGTTCTAGAACAATATGTTTTACAGAAGATGTGGATGCACCAGATACTGATTCTTGTATTGCTTCATTTGGGATCTTGCGATATCGATAATTGGGGGCATTATTTTCCATTATATCTGACCAGGCCCTGTAGCGAACCTCTGCAGATCCCCAGTAGTGCCTAATAGCAGACTCAGAGCGATGGCCTGTCACTGCCATTATTTCCCTAGGCCCCAGTCCTGCTTCACAGAGTAGCTGGATGGTGGTAGTTCGGAGAGAATGATTGGTGTACCGCTGGGAGAGCCTGGCTGCCACACTGATCCTGGGCATCATGGTACCCAGGTAGTTCACACCCATTGGTTCTCTTTTGTACCAGACAGGCTGTTCTTGCATTTGCTCTGATGTTAGCTTTAGAGGGTGCAGGTAAAAGGCAGGGGGCTCTGGAGGCAACTTGGACAAATAAAGTTCCAAGGAAAAAACAGGACAGTTTGGGTCCCCAGGCATATCATACATTTTACCCATTTTATGAGGATCTTCTCCGTTTTTGCCTTTGCCAGGGTATCTAAACATAGCGTATCGACGCCCGTTCTTGTCCTTCTCAACAACAAATGCATCCGGAGCCAGATCTCTTAGAATTTCCCTCCCTCGCTTGGCAAAATGCAACTGCAAATCAAACCACACCTTGTTGACGAGTGCCAGGGGACTGTGCAAACCCAGCACACCAGACTGCTTAATCTTACGCAAGTCCTCGGCAGCTATAGGAGGATGGTGGTGAGTCTCATCCTTTCCCTGCAGGCGCAGCATCCTCAGCACACTCATAAAGACCATGTTTGCACTGGCAAACTCTTTGTCCTTCATTAAGCAAATCTGACGATTATAAGGTGGCATTTTGAGATGCCGGTTTAAGCCAGCACGCATTGACTTGTAGCTTGCCACACTGTAGGTATTTCCATCATGATTTCTTATTGTGTAATAAAATTCTCTTAAGATATCATTGAGTTCACTTACTGGGACCAATTCAAAGCTAGGATCCTTGCCATTTTTGGCCAGCCACTGTTTTAATAGGTTAGCTGCCCAGCCAGTCTGCTTGTGGGTGTTTTTGATGCTCTTAGCATCCTCTTCCTCTTCCTCCAAGCCAAAGAGGACATCCTCAGGGAAGTTAAAATTCATCTGTGCTGCTTCTACTGCTTCTTTATTTTCTGATGAGGTCTCTTCCTGTTTCAACTGCTTTTCGAAACAATTGATCAAAGTTGTACCATCAAATATGCCACAGGTATACGGTACACAGCGAACTACTTTTTGATCTGAGAGCTGCGAGTGTGGAGTAATACATAATATTTTGGATTTTACGTAACAAAAAGCAGGTGGCATTAGCTGGATTTTTCAAATGAACGGCATGTCAATTCCATACATCACTATCCAATTAAAATGCATCAGGTCCTTCTTTTTTAACCATGGCATTACACATGCTTTAACTGATTTCACAGAAAGCAAACCTAGAACATACACTACACAACAGAAGACTGAAAACCCAAAAACATCTTATGTCTTTTATTTCCCTCATCCTAGCTCATCTTCCACTGCTAAATACCATTATCATACACAATCTGTTTTTCCAAGTTTTCTCCCAGGTTTCAGGCTCTAGCTTCCGACATAATGTGTTTTATACTGAAAATTAAACCTTAACACTGTACGACTGTCATCCATTATGGTACTGGATTTCCTACCTATCAAGTACTGACAAGGGTTTTTAATAGCTATAATCCACAGGTATCTTTGAAAAATAGAGTTCCAAACAACCTTTCTTTATGAAATGTCTTAATAGAAAAATAAAGTGAGGCATAGTTTATACTCTAAAATACTGGGTACCTTTGCCACACTACTTTCAGCAAATGAAAACCAGAATATTGTCCAGTATATTTTCTTCTTGCTTTGAAATATAATTTAGATTAACTGTACCTTGAGATGCTAATGAATTTGGAAATGTTGTCTAGAAGAAATTAATTTTACTCCCCTTAATAAAATGACTTCTGGTTAACAGCAGTAGTTAAGTATGAGGTACTTTATGAAACATCTATAGACAGAAAGAAAATTATTTATGAAGAATTTTAAATAGCTTAATTTCAAACTTTAAATTTCAAAGCAAGTTCAACAAATTTTAGACAAGGAATCCAGAAGTATTGCAAGTTATCCTTTACCATGAAATAGCTATTCCTGAGGAAGGTTTATTTTCCTTTTTTTTTTCCTCCCATGATATATGGAAATCAAACATTACAATTCCAATTCTAACTTCTGGATTAGTGTGGGAATGAGAACATTGCAATAATTTATAAAACATTTGTAGCTATAAGTTCAAGCCATTCAGACAAGGAAAGGATTGGGCAGTCTGTTTTAGCAGACAATTTTTAGTCTGCTCCTGATTTACCAACTTGTACCTACAAAATCCCATCACAAACCTTCTGAAAAAATTATCAGAAGCTCATGCTGCAAGCAACAGTGAATCAGAAGAAAAATATAAACTGAGAGAAACTAGAAAGGATTGCACAAAAGAAACTAAATTTGTTTCATTATAGTCAGTAAAGGTAAAGAAAAACTCCTGTGGATTGTAACTTTAGAATTTTATATAGAAATAATAAAAAGCTTACCTGTGTTGTTCCCTCAGCAGGTCGCTTGTTTGCCGAAGTATCTGTTGGTGGCCTGCTGGTCTGGTTTTCTGAGGGGTCAAGAAATTATTCATTTGCAATATCTAATCAGTACTAATTATTGCTACCCACTAGCCATATTTGAAGGCAATATTCAAAACTGTTTGACACTAAACATTCAATATGTGATATATTTTACATTTAGCCTCAGTTTGCAATTAGAAGTATTCAAGTTTGATTAGTATGTTCCTTTCCTTGTAAGTTTGACAGTATATTAAAAGCATTTTATGAGCAATTTCCTTGCCTGAGAACAAAGTATAACTCCGAGCTCTTCTCCCTCTGTATTCATACTGATAAGCTATTCAACTGAAAATAAAATTATTAAATATTTCCATACAAAGGAGACCTGACTGAAAAAAGGATGGTTAAACAGACTGTAAAATACACAACTGAGACAGGGAGACTGAGTACCTTTAGTAGCTCAGCCAAACATCAAACTAGCAATTTAAGAAGTTCCTTTAATATGTTGATGTAAATATATAAATTCAAATTCTGTTCTCATTCCTCTTCATTTTAATGAGAGCTTATCAGCAACAGTGCTGGCCCAAATTGGTGTTTCAATTCTGGTTAGAAAACTACTAGGGTATAAAGTAAGTCCATGGAAACTGCAGAAAATGAGACATTCTTTGGACACATAGGTCCTCCTTTTGTCACTGTATCTCATCAGTCACAAACCTTATTATGTTGTCTTAAATCACTTCTATTTGCTTTAGAGCTAAGAGTCAATATAAAACAAATGTCTAGCTCTATGGAGCACATATTTTAGCACAGATAAGCTAGATACAGGATAATGAAATTAAACTAGTTCTGATGTCAAGCTCTGCTTGAGCTCCTTCTAACATTATACTGTGCCTATGAGGCACTTGCTGTAACTCCAACTCACTTAAAATCTTGAAGATCTCTTATAAAAAAAAAACAATCAAAAAATCAAGGTATGTAAAATCAGAAGTGCAGACAACCATCAAGGCAGGACCAAAGACTGAGAAAAAGTATTTTAAACTAATTAATCCAATTATTGTTATTTGAACATTTATTGTGTTTAGAGACTTTAATATTTAAATATTTTAAGTGTATTCCTTTGGAACTAGGTTTGTATTCAGTTGGGTTTTTTCTCCCATTATGTTTACTTCTAAGTGAAAATTAAGCTATAATTATACTTTCCTTTCAGTATGTCTGTGCTTAGAAAGGTAGTTCAAATAATTCTGAGAGGTTTTATTAAAATTAAATACCAAGTTCTTAATGATAGAATAGGATTCTGACTTCACACTAGGAATTATGTAAGTCAAATTCCAAATAAAACAAATCTTACAAAGCGACACTGCTGACTCCCTCTTAAGGGGAGTTTATTTTCAACAATGTCTGAAACAGATCTGGCAGAGACATTATTTTGATCTTGAAAATTTCAACAGAAATGCAGCTAGAAGAACCATCTCTGTGAAACACATCAAGAAACAATTTTCCACACAGTGTGGTTTTATGTTTCCTGCTGACCACTATCTTCCTCTGCCAGTGTCAACATTCAAGCATAACTTACCAATCTTGGGTGCTGCAATGGTGGGAGGCTCAGTAGGAGCTGTACTATTAAATGCAGTGAGAGGAATCTTCATCTGCAGCGGCGGTCGACTGGTGGCTGCATTATAAAGTCCTGGAGCACCCACTGTGGGCAAAGAAGTCCTTGTGGTCTGGGCAACAGGATGAGTAGTAGGAACAGCCTGTACTGCCAATGTTGTGCCTATTGACCCAGCACTGGGTGTAGGGTTCCTTTGAATACCAGGACTGGGCACATGTGGGATGTTATTTGGTTTAGTTGTATTAGTTGATGCCAAAGACACTGTAGTTTTGGTAAGGCTACCAACTGTAGATGAGTTTTGTACAGATATAAATTCAACGTTGCCTGACTGCTGGTTAGAGACCAAAGTCCCTGTGTGGCTTTGCAGAAGCGGCGTCTGGGACGACACTGCCACAGGTACATGCAGGATTACGGGCAAAGACTGCAGTGAGACAGACACTGACTGAGTGCTGCCAGTGGGCACTTGGTTAGTGCCTACAACTGTAGCCGTGTTAGCTGTGGGAAGCACTGCTGTTGTCAAAGAGCTGGTGGAGGACACTGGAGTCGAAAGCTTAGGATGTCCACTGACAACTGCTGGAGAAGCAGCAAGACTGGAAGCAGGCACTACACACAAAAAAAAATAAAAAAAAATTAAGCACTTGAATGAAGTGGGAAGTTTCACTGCAACCCAACAAATGGAAACAATTCATGATGAGGGCAGTGAGTCACTGGAACTGCTTGTCCAGAATGACTGTGAACGTCCTCTCATTTTAAGTGTTGAACGTCAGGCTGGACAGAGCTTTGAACAACTTGATGTTGTGAAAGATGTCCTGGCCCATGGTGGCAGGGTTGGACTAGATGATCTTTAAATGTCCCTTCCAACCAAACATTTCTATGATTCTATGAAAAAGGTAGCATGTAATTACTTATTTTTGCCAATAAAAGTTCTAAATACTATTTTTTGTTGTACATTCTGATATTCAATGGCACAGTTAAAATACATTCAATACTACATTTCTGTTTATAAGAAATGTGAGGAAAAAAGACATACAAAGAATTATGACACAGGCTTGAAGAAGTCACCAAGATTTAACTGCTGAAAACACATAATACAGCATTTTAAACACCCGTTAAAGAAATGGCAGAGCAACTGGTGCTTCACAAAACACAGGACAAGAACAACAATGTCAGTTATGACTAAATTGACTTGTATAGGTAGGACCTTGTATCCAGAAGGTTCTAGCAACATCAAGTATTAATGTGTCAGAGAAGATACTGACTTTTATACAACAAAATTTCAGGATTAATTCTAAAAATCAGGAGCAAAATACACTACTGAAAGCCAGTACATGCAAACTAGAAGATAACCCTGTGGGAACAACTCAGCATTCAATATTAAACAAACTATTTTTACAACCAAGGAGAATGAGACTATAATGAGTAAATTAATGGTGAGTTTCAGTCTATATTCCCTATAAAATTTTAACCTAGAAATTCCATTTTTCATCATGACTACTTTAGGAAATGGGGTTTTTAACTGTTGTTTAGTTTCCCACTCAATTTCTATAGTCATTAGGTAGAGGGAAGGATATCATCAGTATCCCATTATGATCAAGTAAAATAAGGGGTCTGAGACATGTTTCAGTTCATGGCAGCCGGTTTTTGCTGCCATACCCAGCATGCAGTCTCCTGAAGCACCTAATTTGCCACAAGTTCTGCTTGGCCAGATCAAGACATGTTTTTCTCATACCTGTTAAGCACACTATGCAAATATAAACTGGGAATGTGCTAGAGAACTAAAATAATGATTTTTTTAATGTCAGAAAAAAGGAGCGAAATTAGTTTTTCTCTATTTAGTTACTTACTTCTTAAACGGAAAGCAATGAAACTTTTAAGAAATGTGTTTACAGTCCATAGAGTTTCTTACCTGGATTCACAGGAGCTTGAAAAGTTGCTGGTGTGGTCTCTCCTACATTCCTCTTTGACTCCAGCATTTGCCTCACTGTGCCAGCATTTCTAAGGAATGAGTGGGCATTTCTCTCAGTAAGCCATATAAGGTGTATTTATGAACAATACAATGGTGAAAAAAATCCCTAATTTTACAGCTCTTCTTTTCTTTGGGATTCTTTGCTAAACCCATTTTTTGCCTCTCAGGCAAATTAACTTTGCATATTTCCCTAATAAAATGAAGTATGGAATTATTTATAAATTTTCAAGTTCTTGCATCAAGCTTGTCTTGCACCATGAGAATTTTCCTGTTCTTGAAATTAAACTTCCACTATTATCTATAATTTTTTTAGCACTGAAACTGAGGTTAAATAATATCTAAATTTAACCAAGAATGGGTTCAAGTCTATCAATTTATGATTCTGTAAAAGCAAATAAAAGTTTACAAGTGAAGAGCAATGAAGGAAAAGGAAGAACACTTTAAATAAAAAAAAAAAAAAAGGAAATACAGAGATTATCTGAAGTGTCCTACTGTAAATTTTAACACGGTCCCACAGTGATGTGCTTTGCTTACCGATATGTGGCATTGTTCACGTTTGCAGTGTCAGGGGCTGCTTTCCCTGGAGATACAGGTGCATTTGCCACATTCTACACAGAATGAGAGAGAACAAAATAACTAAGTCAGCTTGCAAACTTATGCTTTCATTCTATTTCATATCCATCCACTGCTGTGTGAGACATTAATTTTCTGAAGTCAACATCACAGGAGAATTTGATGTATTTTTACAGCTACCTAAAATCTCCTCCTTGGTCCCACTGCCTCCCTTCTCCTGTATCCTCTCTTTCTTCTTCCTACTCTCTCCCCTCAGAATCAAAGTAGTGATTCTATTATTTACACTGTACTCCTCATACTGAAGTAAATTAAGATTCAGTTACGTACAGTTTAAGGTGTTTTCCCACTAAAAATGGCTAAAGCAGCTTCTGTAAAAATCAGAATTACGTAATAGATGTTAAGACATCTTTAACCAAACCAGACAAACCTGCTTTGTCAATGCCATTGAATAAGCAAGTCACATCTTTCTGCATATAAATTTTCTCTATTTCCCAAACAAGGTTTAGGCTAACTCAGAAAAAAAAAAAAAACACCTCAGACCCCAATGAATCTAGTTCTTACTTCCTGTCTCTTCTTCAAGTCCTCCTTGGCTGCTCCAACCCGCTTTGTCAATCTTGCAATTTTAGCCTGAACAGGAAGAAGATGAAAACAAACAAAACCATAAATCCCCAAGAAACATCAAAGAAATTTTACAAATGAAAATATATATAACTAAGATATCAAGTCAAAGGCTATTTTCAGATCAGGGAAATTATTCTTCCTTGAAATACATTACAACTCTGTTATTTTCAACTGTATTATAGCAGAAAGACAAATGTATGCATCACAATCAAGGTATCTTTGAGGCAAGTTTAATTATTTTCCTTCTTATTCACAACTGCACAAACTGAATCCATCTTGCATGTTCACACAGAACTACATAAATGAAAGCCTTAAATGATGTTATTAATTTGACACTAGTTCATGGCTAAAGATACTAGTAAACAAGTATACTGAAAGTGTCTCGGCACTTAAAAAGTCAAAATGTCCACGGCGACAATAGGAAAGAGTTGTATAGTGGCAACTGATCTGGCAAACTCTGTATTTCTTCAAATGCAAAAACCAAAATGGCCTTTTTGTTCAAATTTGTTATGAGAGAAGCTTTTAATAGTCTTGTCTGTTCAAAGTTCTTAGCATTTTGTGCTGTTCTTCATGTCATCACTATGCATGTATTTTCCATAAAAAAAATGCAGGAAAGCACACTGTATTCAATACTAGCTATTTGCTTCCTTGCTAGAACAACTACTATTTACACTCTGGGGAAACAACACATGATGGATAATGTTTTAAGTCCAGTGGTACTGTGCTCTCCTTTCTGCATGTTCCAATTTTTAAGCAAATTTCCAGCTTCATAAAGACAATAGATATTTTCATACTTTGCATTTTTTGGAAAAATGTCTAGATGGAACAGAAGAGTAGAAAAGAAGTCTACTAACAGCTAATGAATGAGTCTGCCAGATGAAAGACCCACTTGGGTGCTTCTGTATGATAAACTGGTTGCTTCCCTCCCTCTGAGTAGGAAAATAGTTTTACAACTCAAAAAGAACATTAGTATTTGCTGCTCCCCCTGCCACCTCCTCCCCTTGCAGAATCAAAATGGTTTCCCTACTGGCAACTGTAGGAACCGTACTACTAAATATTGAGGAAATTATTTTTGAATTTGAACCTAGTATGGAGCTGAATGCACACACACTCACCTGCATTTCAGTAAGCACATTTTTATGCCTCTTGTTGCATTCTACCTTCTCCATTCGGGTTTTCAAGTCTGCCAGAGTCTTGTCAAATACCGCACACTGTAAAGCGGTAAGTTTTTCTTCTAACAGTCTCTGGATAATCTGCAAAATTGTTATATAGAAATAAAACAACAGTGCAATCCCAAAATTTGGGGGACCATCTCTAAAAATATTCTCAACTCTTAACAAATATTCTACTATAAGCAGAACAATGACAACTTTTGTGCCCTGCCAATCAAATAAATCTACAGTCAGAAATAATATGTTGCTGCACAGCTAAGTTTTGACAAAATTTTGGAAAATACAAATGGTTTGACATTAATTCAACAAATTAATTTCCTTACAGTATGATAAGGATCTAAAATCTTACTATATATAGAAACAGGGTCAACATGTTGACCCTTAACAACAGAAGGTATTTTTTTGAAGTGCAGTGCTTACACAAATTAATTGTTCTCCAAACTTTTCTACTTTTGAGAGGGACGTTGCCATTCAATGAACAGAAACTTAAAGACATTCAACAAAAACTTTTTTCTGACATGTATTTTCCCCTAGCAAAAATGCAGTGTTGCCTTTCTTGGAGGCGCTAATAACATAAGAAGAAAAGACTGGTTTTCACAAAGTTTACATGATTAAAGTTATTATTTGATGTTCTTCTCCCTTCTATACTGACTGCAGTGTAATACGTTTTCTTAGGAAACAAAAATAAATAAGAAACTAATGTGGTTCAATTTTGCCATCCTAAATTAAATAAGTTACAACACATGCTAGCTAACGAACTAATAAAAGGACGGCACAATTTTTCTTTCTTCAAGACCGTAAGTTCCTTTATACAGCAATGGTGCAATCAGGCTATTAACAGCTCTACAAAAATCTGCAAAATGCCAGGTTGATTACACTCTTGTTTGGAGACTGCCTGCATTTAAAAGCTAGGCACACAATGAAGTGCATCACATATAAACTTCATCATGGTGAAATACATCCTTGACTAACATTTTCAGTCTAAAGTCACATGAGACTTTAAATATTTTATACATTTCAAATATAACTCCTGCAGCATACTTTTCAAATGCTATTTGGTCTCTTCTTAAAAGGAGGGCGATGTAGAACTTTAAGAATTAAGCACCTTTGTTACTTGAATTATGTCCAGTGTTTAACCACAAAAAAAAGAGAAAGCGTTTTGGGGCACATAGCGTGTGTGGAAGGACTGCTAATTCAAAGACAGTAACACAAGTGACAGGTGTGTGTGTATGTTCTTTGCTCTGCACCTCTAATCTACCTTTTGTAATTTTAGGTCAACATCCTTTCTGGCTGTAATTTTTACTTGGAGTTCTGCTTCATAATCTTCTCCCATGTACCGACGATGTTTAGACTGAACATTGTCCATGTCTTCAGATTTGGAACGCTTTCTTTTTGATGCTTCACCTGGAACCATTAGATACAACTCCTCATGAGGAATTCCTGAAAAAAACCAGGTATTTTCACAATGCCACGATTACTTTGAAGTTGTTCTCAGTTTAAGCTTTCTCATTCTAAACCAGTAGGAATGCCTTTGGAAAAACATACTAGATGACATCAAAGTACAAAACGAGTCCTTATGGTATCTCAACATTACTGCTCTGTCAGTGAGTTCTGCTTTGTGATTCACCCAATCACTGCCCCAAATGCAGAATGGTTCTAGTACCACCATTCCCCTCTCCAGAACTTCCCTCCAGTTCTTCCTATTCCTATCAGCACCATCCTATAATGAAACATGGCTTCTGAGAAGCAAAATAAAACCTTCTCCCAAAAACGGAATCCTCCTCTCAGAATTTCAGCTGAATAAAACTACATCTCGTTTAACTATGCCAGCAATTAACTGTATTTACCTGCCATGAAGTTTTAACTTGTACCTCCAATACCTGACTGAAAACCCATTATTTTTTCACTTCTTGGTTAAGAAGGAAAGTAAATCTAACAAAAGAACAGGTTCAAAACAGAACCAGATTATAAAAGTCATGTTCATCACGGTGATGGAAGCACAAAGAAACCAAAGAGCCCCCACTCACTCCACCAGCTCCTTGCACTGTGTCCAGAAGGTTCTTGAGGACAGGAGGGACATCTGCTTTTAAATAATCTTCAGATTATGTAACAAGGACCCAGGGAACTACAGGATTACTAGCCTCACCTCAGTCTTTGCAACATGATGGAGGAAGTAAGTCTAGGTAGAAATCATCTCTAAGCCTATTAAGAAGGCAGTGATGGGGAATAGAATAGATTTATCAAGGGGAAGGCTGCACCAGCCTGATAGCCTTCTACAGTGAGACCACTGGCTTGGTGGATGAAAGGAGAGCATATTTAATAATGCTTCTGAAATCCAAACCAACCCCGAATTCTTTATGTATGTCCTAGATAATTGCACTGGCTCATCCAGGAACCACGATTATAGGCACATAGTCCAGCTGGAGCTCAGTAATGCACACCAGCACATGCTACTGGTACCAACACTACCACCTTAATTTGTAACCTAGATAATGGGGTAAGAGGATATCTGCAGCAACTTGGGGATACAAAACTGGAAGGAGTGATTTGTACACTCCTGAGTGGTTATGCTGCCATTTGGAGTCTGACAAACTGGAGAAATCGGCTAACAAGAACCTCATGAAGTTTAAAAAAAGGAGATACCCAAGTACTACACTTGGGTAGCAATAAAACCATGTACTAGTACAGGCTGGGAATTCACTGGCTGGAAAACACGTTTTCAGAAAAGGCCCTGGTGGTCTCCACATACATTAAATTAAACATGGGCCAGCAACATGCCATGCAAGAAGGCCAACATTCTCAGCTGCCTGAGAATGAGTACTGACAGCAGGTTGAGGGAGGTACTTATTCCCACTTAACTAGGGAATGTGAGCCAGAACCTTGAGTCTTTTGTCCAGTCCTGGGTTTCTAAATACAAAAAACCATGTGAACATACTGGAGGAGAGAGGGGAGTGTAAAGTCACCAAGATGTTTCAGAGATAGGAGCATTCAACAAGAACTGGAATTGTTCAACTGGAGAAGGTCATTAGGGGAGATTTTATCATGTGTGTGAATTACCTGTCAGGTGGAGAATAAGCGAAGAGCAAGACTCTTAGTGGGCAGCAGTGACAGGACAAGAAAAATGGATGTAAATTGAAATACCAGAATTTCTACTCATACACTTAAAACTTTTTTACTGTGAGGGTGGTCAAACACTGAGATCAGAACACTGGAAATTAGTGGAATCTTAGTCTGTGGAAATACTCAAAACCTGTCAGGACACGGTTCTGGGCAAACTGCTTTCTAGTTGATCTGTTTTCAGCAGGAGCATTGGATTAGATAATCATCAAAGGTCCCTTCCAAACCTAATGATTCTGTGCTTCTAACACATACATCCCAGTGAAACAATGGTTTTAACATTACATACTTTTTTCTATTTGTTTATCTTCTTCTTTGTGGGCCTCTTCTTCTTTATCTTCACACTCCTTTTTTTTCTCCCCCTCCACCTCTTCTATAAACAGAAGGAAAAAAATCCACGTGACACTTACTCAGATCTGCTGAAGTCTTGTAACAGTCCTATTTTGACTAATGAATTAAGAAAACTTATGAGAAAACATGTGAGGGAAGGCAAGAGAATTAAGTATGACAAAAAGGGAATACAGATATGAAACAATAAGGGGATGTCCTCAAAACAAAAATTGAACTATAATGCAAGACATTAAGACTCACTTCTGAATTTGCTTAACATTTAAAGCAGAATTACTGAACGGTAATTATGAGGGTAAAATGTTTCAGTTACCTCTGAAAAAAAATGATGTATTTTTAATGTAGATAAAGCTCTCAATAAATTATTTTAGATCATTTTTCCACTTAGGGAGAAAGTATAAAAAATTCAGTAACAAAATATTAGTATGTGTCTCTATTTACAATCAGCAACTTCAACCATAACATTAATGGTAGGAAAGGCCTAGATTTAGGTTAACAAATATGAATTTAAATTTGAAGTTTCTTGCTAATACAAAGTATCACAATTTAGGACTAGTAATTTAAAATTTTACAGTTTAGGAAATGCTTAAATCGAGAAAAATCTGAAGCCACAAAACACACAAAGATAAAAATGGCAGCACTTCCTGCAAAATTTTATTATATGTTCCATGAACTTATTATATGTTTCATACATATGTGTATGAAACAAGCTTCCATTATGTGCTTCTCTGCTTGCCAAATACAACACACAACTACTGATTTAAAACTACAGTAAAATCTATCCAGAATATAACAGAACAAGTAATCACTGTTATGCACATATTGATCTGTCCACTTCATTTTCCTACACTCATTTTGTTACTACTGCAGTTTACTAGCTTTTCTAAGGAAAGTTCTGATTGCAAAGGTATGTATGATGCTCTTTTAACATTAAGTCTCCCTTCTATTATGAAGAACATTTGAATGATTTAAAACAAGTTACCTAATAAATCAGAAAAAGGAAAGAGTCAAAACCCAATAACCTGGCATCATGAGATTTTAATTTTTCTTATCAATGTAAAAAATAATATTCATAATACAAATTCTTCAATCCAAATCTGATTTAAGGTAATAATTTAGCATAATGCCTATGCCACTTGCTTTTTAACACTCAAAGATAAGCTTCATGTATTTAATTGTTATGAATAAAATAGGGCTCATTTTCCTATGAATCTAAAGGAGAATTGCTAAGTTTGTGACAACTTTTCCCACAACTCAAAGATTTTAATATTCAGACGAACGACAAATATTCCATGGAAAAATATACATATCCAGAATGTCTTTAAAGCATGTTACAAGCTTCAAAGCTAAGTTTTCACTCAGTTCTATATAGAGGAAAGTAATTTCAGGCATGAGAAGGTCCTTTCCTTACTAACTTCCATTCCCATGAACAAATCTAGCTCATTTAAATAAAAGTGGTTTAAACATGATGCCCAGCTAAACTCTCAAGTTAAGTAGGAAAAAAATTTCACAATTGGCTATCAGTTTAGTTTTCACTGCTAAGCAGTGATCTCATTATCCTGACACTAGACAGCCAGAAGCAATGAATGCAATCTTGTTAGCCTCCTATGAGCTTGGTGTATCACAATAAAGTTTTCCTCAGTTTCTTAATTTATTAGAATCATTTTTCACTTGTTTTCTTCCACTGACCATTTTATCAATGTTTCCTCAAAAGTATCTACTATAATCTGGAAATATTTTTATTGAGTGATGAATCAGTTCTACTCTCTGATCAAATTATGAGTTCTGTACTCAAGTGCACCACTTCATAGATGACCACAATGAGTTTCACCTGCCATATTTGTTCCTCAGTCAATCAGCATTGTAAAATTCTTGTCCAGTTCCTCATATCAGCTAACTCTCACCTCACTGGTACCACTCATTTTAGCCAATTATTAATTCTAGATAGTCACACAGTGCTATCTCTGAAACTCTGAATTTATTTTTCATTCTTCAGCTGATTATTTCCTCCATGAGGACTTTCCATTTTACTGTTTCATTTCCTAAAGTTCTTGGTAAGAGATCACTTGTGTTTGGATATCCAAGAGAATTCACATTGTGGCTTCCTTGTCACATGCTTGTTTGCTTACACAAGAAGGCCCAAGGCTTTTTGATGTATGATCTTTCATTACAAAAATCTGTGACAAGATAGCTATTATAGGTGGTAATTACACTTGGGAAAGACATTCTATTAATCCGTACATTTGAATAAACTCTTCTAGTACCATTCTTTCACCGCTGTTTAGCCATGTTGATTTTTATCTGGACTTGTAGAAATCTTACTTCTTAACTGAGCAGTTTGCACTTGTTTCTCCAATATAGCATCTTGAAATTATCTCCATATGGTCTCCACAGTTTTAATTTTCATAGATTCTTTCCAAAACTTACTCTTTATAAGTAAGGTAACTCTACCTGTTTTCTCATACAATTGTTTCCTGACTATGCAACCTCTGCTATTATCTTCCTTCCTGGTTAAGGCAGAACATCACAGTGATCAATTTCCACTTCCTGAATAGTCTCAGTTACAGCCAGTTACAACTGTAAGAGTCATAAACTGTTATTAGCCAATAAATAAAACAACTAGTCAGAAAAATTTGTCATGTCACCAAAACTAAGAATCTGAAAAAAGTATTGCTGGATATATTATTTTAAGCTTCTGCCAACTGAAGTACAGTACTTAATATTCATTTCAATCTTTTTGCTCCATAGCAAATTCTTCTATTACCCCAGAGTGTTTTCTCATTGGGTAAGAGGAAAAAAGTAAACCTAATGGCTTAAATGAGTGAACCCTTAAACTTCAGAGAAAACAAAGGTAACCAATTTATTTGTGATGTTCATTTCATTAAAGGGGCTCCTAACACTACAATTTTAACAAAACTACACACAGCCTTCTCTCCCTCTGCTTCCCCCACCTCCAGGAGTTTCTGAAAGACTAAGTGCACAATAATGCTATCACTTTTTCAATCTCATTGACAACAGCTAATGTCTAAATAAGATCTTTAGCAGAAACCATGGAACCTACCTTATCTCTATTGAACTAGCATAATTTAGAGGCAAATACCAGAAAAGGAGGAGTCTAAAACAGGGCTGAAGAGACATTCTTATCTCTGTTTCTCTAGCTGTTTTAGAGACTGAAGACTTAGAATGCCACAGTCCCATCATTAGTGAAACAAGATTCGGGAAACTATGGTTACTAACTTTCAATAGACTAAAATGTGAATCTTGTTTAAGCTATGAAATTTCTACCCAGTCAGCCATATTTAAACACATACTGGGTTAATATAGTCATAATTAATAAAAGCTATATAATGGAGGGGTTGGGGAAAAGTGGG